AACTTCCACTGATTGTCATTGTCGAAGAAATGTATATAATCAAATGGTTGCCACTGTTGCCGTCGGAATATTGCTACCAAAATATTTTCAAGGTTTTGAGAGTGGGTAGGTTTTAAATGTGGGATTTGGAAAATATGGATGGGTGGTGATGGAGGTGGGTGCTCTCATAAATCCTAACTCATGATTTAGTTGGTGTGTGGACTTAATTGTGAGATGGAATGTTCCAAAATTATTAATATCTTTTTTAATAATTTCATTTGAAATTATTATTGTAATAAAAAAATGGAGCTTTTTGATAAATCTTCTTTCTAGGAGTTTTATTTTATCCAATCCATATTCTTTTTTACTATTCCATTAGGTCCTATTTGAGGTAAGAAGACCAAAACGCCCTCAATCTCTCATGCCCCTACTAATGTTGATATTTAATGTTGATTGTCATTATGTTTTGATAGTTCCTATGCATTAGAATGTTGACTGTCATTATATTCATATTAATTTGAAATGATTTTTTTTCATTGTGTTGTCAATTACATGATGTAAATATTTACATCATGTAATTGAAATGAATATTCACATCATTATATTCACATTAATTTAATATGAATTTTTGCCATTATGTTGTCAATTATGATGTGAATATTCATACTAAAACATACGAATATGAACGTTCACATCACTACATACATGTTGTGAATAAGAATGTGTTGTCAATTAAAAATATAATTAACGTTATTTTTAATGTGCTGTCAATTAAAAATAAGAAGGTTCACATGTTATGAATGTTCACATCACTACATTAGATGAAAGAGAATTTTTTGAAAAATTGTTGTAAACATTCACATCAGATGACAGAGAATGTTCACATTATTTTTAATGTGTTGTCAATTAAAAATATATTCACATCAGATGAGAGATAATGTTCACATTATTTTTAATGTATTGTCAATTAAAAATATATTCACATTATATAATAATATAAAGTAATAACATCAATGTTATTTAATTTGTGCATGAAATTTCCTATATCTTGGTCTTTTCCCTTATCTCTCATCCCCCAACATTAAATATCAATATTAAGGGTTGGTTTGGGATGTCCTAAAAAAGTGCACTTTTTGACTTATTGGTGGGTTTGGGTTGGGTTTGGGTTGGGTTTGATGTGATGTGTTAGAGAGGTGATGTGATTTAAATAAGATGATGTGACTTAAATAAGATAGTGACTTTTTGACTTTTTGACTTATTTAGTACATGCCAAACTAGCCCTAAATATAAGAATAATCTTATATGCACAAACTACTATACTAATTAGTATACTAATTGATGATGTGGTATAATTTAAGAGATTTTTGGTATTTGTAATGTCATTAATGAGTGAAATCAATAATAATGTCATAACTAATGTTGGTACACTAGTTTAGTACACTAATTTGTGCATGTAGCACCGCCGTAAATATAAGGGCATAAGAATCTAGAAAAATAATGTAAATCAAGAAAAATGACTTTATAGAATAAAAGTATAAATACATGGGACTAAGTGGGTTAAAAAATTCTTTCATGGACTTCTTGGATTAGAACACTTTTAAATGAGATTTATCAATAAAAATCCCAAATAAAAAAGTTAAAAAATGGGGTCCAAAATAAAGCACTCCCACAAAAGACTTATTACTCATTTTAGATGGCCATGAGTTTACAGAATAGCCCCTGTAGTTTTCATCCTTTTGTTCATTAAGGATGGAAAAATATATATATATATATTTATTTATTTTCTTTGTTCATTTTTAACGATATTTAAACCATGTCGTTAGAGCGACTTTGGCACATTTTCTACTCTTTTTTCATTGTTAATGAAAATAACGCCACCAAATTCCAATTCTTCCTTCTCCAAATCAACACATTCAATACACTTGCAATGATCTAAAAATTTATATTTTCTTCCCAATAATTTGCATCTTATATCCACACTTTACTATTTTTTTTTTTCATTTTAAAATTAATTGAAAAAGTAAAATTTTGAGAACCAAGATGTGTAGTGTATATGGCAAAAGACTGCTCTGTATAAAATTTTGGGAACCAAGATGTGTACTATAGAGGCCACATGCATGCCATTTTTGCTTCTGATTAAAACAGCTTTGCGAGTAGTAAGAACACTAATAATTAGCCCATTCAATGAATATAAAAACAACTAATTAACATAACAATAAAAAATAAAATAAAAATAAAATAAAAAGAGAAAAGAAGAATGTTGAAGAAAGCTTGGTTGGAAAGTAAGGGAGGGAGAGCCTTTTTCTGTGTCCCACGACACAGGACCCTTTTCCCATGTGAATGGACATCCCCCAGATTCAAAGCTTAACCATCTGTTCACCACTTCACAAATATAAAAATTTAAAGCCACAAGAGGCCCATATGACCACCCGAGAGTTGGGGAGAAGTAATTTTAATAATTTTGGAGTAATACTTTACACCTATACTGTGACATGTGTTTATTTGTTTCTTAAAAATCAGCATGAAACTGATAAATTTCACTATTTAAACTAATAAAAATTAAGACTAAGTAGAGAAATTGAAAAAACCACAAAATTAGTCCAATCTAGACCAAACCATACGATCTGGTTTGGTTTTCTTAATACACAATTTGATTCTGCATTTTTAAAATAGGCGAATTGTACTTCAGGGTTCAATCTATGATTTTATAGTTATGGTTCCGGTTTAAAACCAAACTAGACTGTTTTGATATATATATAATTTGTTATTTATTATAGATACTCGAGTATAGTATTAGTATCCCATATATATTTATAAGTTTTTTAACCATCTTCTCTTGCAAAACACTCTTATATAATGACAGAAATAATTTTAAATAATTATTGTTTGTAAAATAGTGATCTATTGTTTGATGTTTGAGTAAGTTGTAATTATATTGTGAATAATGTCAAGGTTTATAAGAACCATGGTTCCAAATCAAGCCGTATTATGTTTTTATGATTTCGTTCTAGATTATCATGATTCGATTTAGTTTCAAATTTTATAAAACCGTAAGTAATAATTTGATCTTAGTTTAATTAAAACTGAATCATGTTCACTTTCAATGAAAATCAAATTAAAGCACTGTGTAGTTGTTGCAGAACGCTGCATAATTTTTTTAAAATTGAGTGAGTTGGAGGAGAAATTGAGGGTCTCACCAAAGGGATGTGACCTTTCCAGATGTCCAGTGGGAGCCAATTTCCATCATCTGGAAACATGATGCAGCCCCTTTCTCTTTTAAATCTGTTTACCAATGCCAATAGAATCACCAGCTGATCCTCTTTGATCCCATTTGACTTTTGAATTTGAAGGATATATCCATTTGTACCTCTACAAATGTATCATTGTTGGCTTGAAGAACTCGCCTTTTTCCTTGGGGCAACTAACAAGTTGGCAGCAAAAGGACTTATAATTTTCTTGACACACTTCTTAAAGTTTGTGAACAAAATATAACCATTATATTAGTTTAAAATTGTGGAGTCCACAATTTGGGTTTATATACTTTTTAAATAGGTATCATCATTTTAAACTTTTCTTTTTTTTTCTGCTCCTCCAATCACCCCCTGCCACATGGCAAAGGGGGTGAGGGGGTGACCCCCAAAAGGGGGTCCCAAGCATTATTCCAAAATATAACCATTATATTAGTTTAAAATTGTGGAGTCCACAATTTGGGTTTATATACTTTTTAAATAGGTATCATCATTTTAAACTAATCAATTATATAATTTGTTCACATTTTGAAAATATCCATTAATCTTGAATCACCAGTTCCTTCACACTATACTCTCTATAGGATTAAATAAGCCATCACTAAAACTCATCTTGAGAGAATACTTACATATCCTTGTGTGTTTTATCCTGCGTTTATCAGGCCCATTTAAACCCTAATGTTGTGTTTGGTTGGTGGATTTGAGGAGTGATTTGGAAAGGGAAAGGAAAAGGGAAAAGGAAAAGTTAGGTGAAATGTGAATAAAATATACCTACATTTCACCTAGTTTCACACACCTTTTCATTTTCCCTTTCCAAATCTCTTCCCAAATCCCCCAACCAAATACAGCATAAAGCATAAGAATTCTTATAATCACACCTAAAGAGAATTGCCACATGCTAATCACCCCCTATCATTTTTTCACTAAAAAAAAAAAAATCAAATAAATAAAAAGAAATGAATGCTATTTGTTGTCTTGGAAAATGGTAAAAAAAAAAAAAAAAAATTAAGAGAGAGAGAGAGAGAGAATGAAACTGCATCTTGAAGCTTCAAATAAATTACACAACATGCAGCAATAATCAACATAGACATTTAGTGGGACAGAATGGAGTCATTTTATTTCAACAAGGATCATAAAAACCCATCTATAGTACAATTGATTTAAGAGAAAGTATATATAGGCAACAACTACACAAAGGGACACTTTCATAATTTTATAACCACTCCAATGACAGCTAGTAATCCCCACAGCTTGGCATTGGCAATGCACAACCATAATTAGGAACACAATGGCCTTTAACATTGGCAAAGCAAAGGGTCCACTCATCAGATGGCTGCAACAATAAGCATTAACACAAAAACTATCCCCTGCATCAACTGCACATGAATTCCCTGTGTTGCCTACACACAACTGGCATGCTTCTTTTGGTGCCAAGTTAGCATCCTGTGTCGAATAAGCAAAAAAAAAAGGTGCCAAGTCAGCATCTCTGCCTTTTTTTTCTTTTGAGTTACCACCACCGGGATTTCCTCTTCTTTTCAACATTCTGTCTACTTTTTATTTCCAGCAAATCTTCACTCCATCATTCCTCAGTAGCACTGCCATTCTCTCTCTAGACAACAAAAATCCATTTGCTTCTCTACATTGCCATTCTGCATTAGATGATCACATAGAACAATCACAATCATGGTAAGCTTTCATGGTTCATCTTCTTCATTTTCAAGTAACTTGATCAATCTATTCTCTGTAAAACAATGGCCACATTACCTTTTTTGTGATTCTTCAATGATCAAGGGAACTCCGGTAAACATCATAGTCGGATCACACGTGTGGGCTGAGGATCCTGAAGTTGCATGGATCGACGGAGAAGTTGTAGAAATCAAAGACAGAGATGCTACAATAGTTACCACAAATGGGAGAACTGTAAGATAATCTTTCCACTCATTATATTCGAGAGCAACTGTATCTACATGATCAAACCACTAGGATCATTAGCTCCACTAATATTGCAGGAATCACTACAATAAGTATTTAAAACAACATACAAATAACATCTGTTCCTTTTAGGCACTGTAAATATATAACCGCATAACAAGTTTGAATGCAGATAACAAATATTACTTAAATAATAAGACATACTAGCAATACTGAAGCCTTTTTTCTCGACAATTTTCATTTATCAATGTCAGAAACTGTGTTGTAGTAAACTGGCATTGGTGGCAATATATACACAGTTCAATATTGACACAAGATGCACACAGTTTGCAAGAATGCCAAAAGGTAACACAACTGAAAAACTTGAATAAAGTTGCCATCCTACAAAAGAAAAATCTAATGACACTAAGGATGTGTTTGGTTAGAGGATTTGATGAGAGAAATGGAAAGAGAAAAGGAAATTCAATCCCACTTTTTGTGTGGTTATAATGAAAAACACAGGAGAAATGAAAGTGAGAGGGACATGTAATCCCACTTTTTGTCTTTTGGATTCATTTAGGCTTTTTCTGTCTCCATTTCCCAACTCAACCAAACATAGCTTGAAATTCGAATCCTATCAATTCTTTCTCCAATGTTTCTATTTCCCTTTTCATTTCCATTTCTTTCATTTCCATTTCTATTTGCCTCATGAAATCTGCTAACCAAACATAGCCTAAAGGGTTCTTGGCTCTGTTAGTACTTTGCAAGTTTGGTTGGAAAGTCAAAATGAAACATTAATATCCCAGCATAGACTTGCCCGTGTTATTATTTAAAAATTTTAGGCAATAGCTTATTATAGTAATAACAGCCATTGCTTCAGTCATTGAGACAAAGGAGATCGTTCCCTTCCAAATTAAAGTGCAAAAACCGGTTGAGAATAATGAACAGATTTGGGTCCAAATGTCCCCTGAATTAGTATATCTATGTTTGCTTTCATAAACGTCAAGTGATCTTCAATGTCTTATGCTCTATTTGGTTGATTGGAATGAGATAGAACAGAATGGTCATTTCTTAGACTCCCCTATAGAATGATCGTTCTCTTACAATGGTGAATGATGATTCCATTTGCAATGTGTTTTTTATTATTTTTTAGTCAACCAAACATAAGAATGTACAATTTGATGGAATGATCATTCCATTCCATACACTACCTAAGGAACTTGCAAAAGAAGACATCTAAACTAAGCATTAGTTCCCTTAACATATGCAGATAGTTGCAGATGTCTCAAGCATATATCCAAAAGACACAGAAGCACCACCAGCAGGGGTTGATGACATGACCAAATTAGCTTACCTCCATGAACCGGGAGTGCTTCACAATCTTGCTTCTCGGTTTTCTCTCAATGAGATATATGTGAGTGCTCATATAGCCTAATGAAAACCAAATTTGCAGTAAAATTTAGTAATAAAGTGAAATCCTTATAATTTATATCTGCAAAACAACTAGAAAACTGATAATCGGTCCTGAAATAAGCAGACTTACACTGGGAATATTCTAATAGCGGTGAATCCTTTCCGGAGACTTCCACACTTGTACGACATCCACATGATGGAACAATACAAAGGCGCAGCTTTTGGTGAGCTAAATCCACATCTTTTTGCCATTGCAGACGCTTGTTACAGGTATATCTAAATTGGGTGCAACCAAATGATCTCCAAAATAACATGCATAATCTGACAAAGATTTGATTCAATAATTCAATATTAGGGCAATGCTACATGAACATGGAAGCCAATCCATCTTGGTAAGTGGAGAGAGTGGGGCTGGTAAAACAGAGACAACAAAAATGCTTATGAGATACCTTGCATTCATGGGGGGCAGATCTGGTGCTGAAGGAGGAAGAACAGTTGAACAACAAGTATTAGAGGTCTGTAAAAGTCAACATTACTTCATATATTTTAAGTGATATTATAAATTTTGTGATCATTTGGCATTTTGAATTTTCAGTCCAACCCGGTCTTGGAAGCATTTGGGAACAAAGGGATTATGTGAAGCTATAGAGAAAGCAATTGCTAGAAATGAGGTAACTAATTTGTTTCCATTCTATGATTAATTGCTCCTTCAAATATATCCTAAGATAATTTGGATGCTTTTTTTCCTTCAAATATATCCTATTTTTCATTCTATCTACTTCTATGGTTTGACTTACAAGAAAATTTACATGACTGAATGGTTGTACCAGTCGTTTTGGTAAATTTGTAGAGATCCAATTCGATAAGCATGGGAAGATCTCTGGAGCTGCAGTTCGAACATATCTTCTTGAAAGATCGCGTGTTTGCCAAGTCTCTGACCCAGAGAGGAACTACCACTGCTTTTACATGCTCTGTGCAGCCCCACCTGAAGTGAGCTTATGCAATCGAATCTAAATCACCACTGACGTGACACAACAATAACCATACATAGTGAGCTAACAGTAATATTTTATTCCAGGATGTGAAGAAATTCAAACTAGGAGACCCAAAAACATACCACTATCTAAATCAAACCAATTGTTATGAAGTGGCAAATGTGGATGATGCAAGGGAATATCTGGAGACCAGAAATGCCATGGATATTGTAGGAATCAGCCAGGACGAGCAGGTGCGTGTGTGTGTGTGTCCACTATGTGCAAAAACAGAGAGAATGAGTGAAATGAGCCATTTTACAAATCCAAATTAATATAATGAATTTTGTTTTAATTTTTTTGTAGAATGCTATATTCCGTGTGGTAGCTGCAATACTTCATCTTGGAAACATAGACTTCATCAAAGGGAATGAAACAGATTCTTCAAAACTGAAAGATGAGAAAGCACGCTACCATCTTCAAACAGCTGCAGAGCTACTCATGTCAGAACTCTAATCAATTTGACCTATTAAATACTGTTTGGTACATCTTCAAGACTTCAACTATATACTTATATCATCTTAATATGCTTATATCCAGGTGTGATGAGAAAGCACTTGAAGACTCACTTTGCAAGCGTGTGATAGTAACTCCAGATGGAAATATTACAAAACCACTAGATCCAGCTTCAGCTGTCACAAGTCGTGATGCCCTGGCAAAGACAATATACTCCAGGCTTTTTGATTGGTAAGTAAATCAAACACACCTCTTTGAATTTCAATTTTTTTTCCCTCCAGACTGATAGCACTCCAACGTCAGACATTTATACTCCTGCTTGATCAATTACATTTGGAAGGAGGAAACAAAAATGTCTGGTGTCTCAGATTCCTCATCTGAGCTGAGTAAACTGTTGCGGATCGGGGGCACACCAGGGAACTCAAACAAGCAATAACACACAAGATTTAACGTGGTTCGGCAAGTCGCCTACGTCCACGGGCAACGGATTCACTATATTGAACAAAATTGTAAGAATTACAACACTCTGTAATTCTCTCTCTCTCTTTGCTCTCTAAGCTCACACCTTCCTGTTATCTCAGCTGTACATCTCAACTCTCTTTAGCTTCTCTATATATAGAGATTATAAATGCAAGAGAAAGTCTTTGAAATGAGCTGGCTGCCAGCCCATTGTTGTGCTTTCGGTGGCTTTCCAGATTGATGCTTCACATGGCTTCTCATGGCCTCATGGCCAACTCACATGGCCTCATGGCTTCCCCACCATGTAGCTGGCTGCCACTTTCCATCACATGGCCAGAATCTGTAGCCAATGTTCAACATAAACAAGTAAGAAAAACTCAAGTACAACAACACTCAGGGAAAATTATTAAGGGGTGACGGTTATTGAAGACAATGGTAACCCAGTTGGATGACCGATATGGTAACCTATGCACTTCCAATCATTGAAGACAATGTTCCTTGCACTTTCAAAGAAGCCGTGCATAATGCAGAAAGTGTCAAATGGAAGGAGGCTATGGATGAAGAGATCGGGTCACTTCACAAGAACCAGACTTGGGAGTTGGTGCAACTTCCAAAAGGCAAGAAAGCAATTGGGTGTAAGTGGGTTTACACCAAGAAGGAAGGCATTCCAGGCAGAGACAACATCAGATTCAGAGCTAGATTGGTAGCTAAAGGCTATGCTCAGAACGAAGGAATAGACTACAATGAGGTATTCTCACCTGTTGTGAAGCACACGTCTATTCGCATCTTGTTAGCTTTGGTTGCACAGTTTGACCTCGAGCTCGCCCAACTCGACGTCAAAACTGCCTTCTTACATGGAGATCTTGAAGAGGAGATATACATGTCCCAGCCAGATGGTTTCAAAATTGCTGGAAAAGAGAATTGGGCCTGTAAGCTGAACAAATCGTTGTACGGATTGAAGCAATCCCCGAGACAGTGGTACAAGCGATTTGATCGGTTCATGATAGAGACAGAATACACAAGAAGTCAATTTGATCATTGTGTATATTTCCGTAAGCTTCCCGACGGTTCCTTCATCTATTTGCTCTTATATGTAGATGATATGCTGATAGCATCTACGAGCAAGGTGGAGATTGACAAACTCAAGGCACAGTTAGCAAGGGAGTTTGAAATGAAGGATTTGGGAGAAGCAAAGAAAGTTCTTGGCATGGAGATCAAGAGAGACAGGAAGAAGGGCACGGTTTGTCTGACACAAACCCAGTATCTAAAAAAGGTGTTAGACAGATTTGGCATAAATGGGAAAACAAAAGCTGTGAGTACACCATTGGCCCCTCATTTCAAGCTTAGTGCCTCGTTGTCTCCACGCACAGAAGAAGAACAGAAGCATATGGCACAGGTTCCATATGCAAATGCAGTTGGTGCATTAATGTATGCTATGGTTTGTACACGGCCTGACATCTCGCATGCTGTGAGTATGGTAAGCAGGTATATGCATGATCCAGGAAAAGATCACTGGCAGGCAGTGAAATGGATCCTAAGGTACATACATGGCACGGTCAATCTGGGATTGAAGTTCGAGAGAGATAACCGACTCGGGCAGAATTTGGAAGGATATGTGGACTCAGATTATGCTGGTGACTTAGACAAACGCCGGTCAACAACAGGGTATTTATTTACGCTTGCTAAAGGGCCGGTAAGTTGGAGGTCAACGCTTCAGTCAACGGTGGCTTTGTCTACTACAGAGGCAGAGTACATGGCAGTAACGGAAGCCTTTAAAGAAGCTATTTGGCTACATGGATTGATTGAAGACTTGGGAATTGTTCAGAAGCACGTTGAGGTGTTTTGTGACAGTCAGAGTGCCATTTGTTTAGAAAAGAACCCGGTTCATCATTCCCATACCAAGCACATTGATGTCCGTTTCCATTTCATCCGAGAAATAGTGAATGAAGGGGATATTCTGCTTCAAAAGATTGGTACTGCAGATAATCCGGCCGATATGCTCACAAAGGTAGTTTCTGGGATCAAGTTCCAACATTGTTTGGACTTGGTCAACATCTCTCGGAACTGAGCACCTTCGGGTGCATGGCAGTGTTGATCGATCACTATGTTGGATAAGAGAATCCTCGCCAAGGTGGAGATTTGTTGAATATTGGCTACAGATTCTGGAGGTCACCACATGTGAAAGGGGTGATCCTCAGGTCAACAATGGAAGGCAACCAACCAAGGCAACCAACCAAGTCAAGCTTGGTGGCCACCAACCATGTCAAAAGTCAAAGAATGAGGGCTCTCCCACCTACTCCTTTGTGTATAAATAGAGACGGGAGGGAGAGGATATAGATATCAGATGTGGAGCTGAGAGGTGTGAGTTGAGAGCAAAGAGAGAGAGAATTACAGAGAGTGTTGTAATTCACCATTTTGTTCAATATAGTGAATCCGCTGCCCGTGGACGTAGGCGACTTACCGAACCACGTTAAATCTTGTGTGTTATTGCTTGTTTGAGTTCCCTGGTGTGCCCCCGATCCGCAACATGCTCTTGGTCCAGATTCTGTATGGAAGCAGATAGCTGCACGTTTTGGTGGTTGATAAACAAGATTGGTCAGCTGTGGGAAGCTCTTGTTGTGCTCTTGTTGTGGATAGTTCTTTGGTCAACTTTTGCCTCAGGTCTGGTGGTTCAATGTTCAGTGTGCATAATGCTGATCTATGCTAATTCAGTGGTCTTGTCTGAGTGGGGGTGCTGCAGTTGGGTTGGTGTGTTAATCTGAGTTGGAGCAAGCTTGGAAGTGAGGGAGTTTTATCCTTCTTTCTCCTCAAGGATGGATTGGCTCATCTGGTAGTGTGCATAGGGCAGCACGTGGAAGTGTATCTGGATTCTACATTCCTTAGTAGACGATGGTGCGGTCAACGGAGGATCGGCGGCGCGGTCAACGCGGCTTGACGGCTGGTCAACGCGGCTTGGTCAGCGGCTCAGGCTGACTGGGCTGACACGTGGCTGCCACGTGTCTGACACGTGGCGCTGACGTGGCGCTGACGCGGTGCTGACGTGGCGTCACGTGGCTCGTAACCTTCCTGGAGGCGCGCGTGTGGAGCGTGGGTGAGACTGGGACCACGCGCCGGGTGCCTGAACGGCGCGTGTAGGCGCGTACCGCGACTGTGTCTGACGCGCTTTTTTCAGAGGGCGCGTGAGGGCGCGTTTGGAGGCTTCTTGGCTCTGTTTTTGCTGTTCTGGACTCCTCTCGGGGAGTTCTTCCTCCTGGTATGGTCAAAAGTGGATTTTGAGCACTTCGAAATCTGGGCACTTTCGGGAAATATTCGATTTTTCGCAACCCGAGCTCTGATACCAATTGTTGCGGATCGGGGGCACACGAGGGAACTCAAACAAGCAATAACACACAAGATTTAACGTGGTTTGGCAAGTCGCCTACGTCCACGGGCAGCGGATTCATTATATTGAACAAAATGGTAAGAATTACAACACTCTCTGTAATTCTCTCTCTCTCTTTGCTCTCTAAGCTCACACCTTCCTGTTATCTCAGCTGTACATCTCAACTCTCCTTAGCTTCTCTATATATAAAGATTACAAATGCAAGAGAAAGTCTTTGAAATGAGCTGGCTGCCAGCCCATTGTTGTGCTTTCGGTGGCTTTCCAGATTGATGCTTCACATGGCTTCTCATGGCCTCATGGCCAACTCACATGGCCTCATGGCTTCCCCACCATGTAGCTGGCTGCCACTTTCCATCACATGGCCAGAATCTGTAACCAATATTCAACATAAACAAGTAAGAAAAACTCAAGTACAACAACACTCAGGGAAAATTATTAAGGGGTGACGGTTATTGTTTCAGAGACTTTAGGATGTTATTAGTTGTGGTGAAACCACAACACCACGAGGAAACTGTTGGGAAACTCATCTTAGAGACTGCTTATTTTGATGGACCATTTTCCCCATGATGTTATAAAGACCTTCATGCAGAAAGACTTCTAAGAATTGGACTGTTTATAAATTCTACTGGGGGCACGAAACTGAAATCCCTATTAAAAGTGAAGACAGTTCATGTCAAGCCTTTTATCACAGGGTACTTAGCCCCTTTGACTCTTAGGCCTCATGATGCACAATTAGTTACCGGCTGTATAGCTTCTCATAAAAATGTAAGTACTTCCCACTTCCTATAATCAGTGTAAGAAATAATGTATAGAGAAAGAGAGAGAATAAATTGTATGTATTATTATTGATTGATGTAATGTTATTTTTTTTACAATGATTCATGATTCCTATATATAGAAGAGGGTGAGTGTGTAGTGGGTGAGGAGTAGGTGAAGTGGAAGTGGTAGTGGTGTAGTGGGTTAGGTTTAGTGGAGTAGGTGAGATGGTAGTGGTGTAGTGGGTTAGGTTTAGTGGAGTAGGTTTAAGTGGGTGAAGTAGGTGGAGAGTAGGTGGATTTTAACAATCAGGCTGCAAGATCAACAATAATCAGATAGAGACTGCTAGATTTCCTCAGAACAGTTTGAGTGGAATGTCATGCATCCACCTTATTATCTTAACTAATCGATAAGTAAGCTTGTAATCAGTGGTTTCTAAATTATTTTATACTAAAAAATTTGTCCTTAAATTTAATTTGGAAAACTTAAAATCTTTAGCACTAGTAATTCAGCCCTGAAAATATTAGTTTAATCAAACAACAGTCTACAAATTAACTCAGCCAGACCTAGAGTACCTTGCGTCAAACAGTCCCTAACATAACATCAAAAAAAACAAAGACAAATTATGGATTGAACCAGTCAGAGGATTTACTATGAAGAGCTAACCAGGTCTTCTTCAAATTGGGTTTAACTATATCAGCAAATTGAAGAAGCTGCTCAGACCCTCATTTTCAAATATTAGGATCTCCTGGTTGTTTATCAACCATTTGAAATTTGACAATGAGAGAGAGAGAGAGAGAGAAGTTGGATTTGAATTCACTTGCTATAAACCGGAAACTATTGCCATTAAGGTCACAAGTTCTAGAGGATATTTCACTTCTTTGAGGAAAAAGGATGAACCAAAGCTCGATTTGAGTGATAAAGGAATGCTACCCCCATTCAAGACTGCCTCCCTAATATTCAATTCATCAGACAACCTTTCAAGCCAAGAAGACTTATTCTCACCAATTGGATACCAATCAAGCCCCTCAACCCCCAGTCTAACAATCCAAAAGTATGGATTTATGCCTCAAAAGCAACAGAAAAAACAAAGAATAAAACTCAAAATATTTGATGCCATAAATTATGATGAAGGATATTATTAATGTGAGTCAAACACAAAAGTAACTTCTCTTCGTATCTTAATCATTATCTTCATATTAGCAACTATGGCTTGTCTAGTTTGGATTATGAATTCATTACTAGCAATATGATAATAAGTGAAGATAAGAATATTGCCCCTACTTTGGCTCAGCACTCAAAAAAAACTCCTATACTTGAAAGTATCCATAAGCATTAAAAAGTTCATTTCTGGAATCCAGTTTCATAGTGTTGGAACTTGCAATCTACCCAATCTATCTAACATTGAAAACATTGGTCAAGTTTATTTATCAACTTAATTTTCCTACTTAATCTGCCTAACATTTAGTATTACCATAAGCATTGAAGCCATAGTTTTTTGTTTGTCAGCTTGACTTAGCCATGACTTGTGAGTTGAGTTAACGTTGCTTTAAGAACCTGACTGCATTGACACCAGTCAAGAGATCAGTTATCATAAGAATACAGTTGAGACTGTTCTGCATCTCTGAATTCAACAATATTTTAGTTTTTAAGTTCCACTTCTAGTTTTAATTTTATCCAAGTCAAACAAGGTTTATATTGTAGTTGGCAAAAATATTTACTCCAGAATGCTCACTTAGTGAACTATGGCAGGATTGTAGACAAGATAAACAATTCAATTGGCCAGGATCCCGATGCAAAAAGTATAATTGGAGTCCTTGATATTTATGGTTTTGAGAGCTTCAAGATCAACAGGTAAATAATGATGGACTTAATTATTTCTTAACTCACAAACATCTCATTATATCTCAACCTTAAGAGCTCACATGCTTCATCTGGCAGTTTTGAACAGCTGTGCATCAATCTAACAAATGAGAAGTTGCAACAGCATTTTAATCAGGTGAGGACAATAATTCTTTTTAGTATCTGAAAGCTCTATATGCCGTAAAATATAAGTACATATGTATGTATGCGGATGTGGGTGTGTACATATGATATGTGTCAGGTTTATATACTGCAATGCTCTGTATGTATACACAATTAAATGGAAAAAGCATCTTTACAGCATGTATTCAAGATGGAGCAAGAGGAGTACACAAAAGAGGAAATCAATTGGAGTTATGTCGAATTTGTAGATAACCAAGATATTTTGGATCTTATTGAGAAGGTATTGACTCTTTCAAACATATCCAATTTCTGCACTATTTGACTGTAAGCGGCAATCCTAGGAGGATGATTATGTATGTCTGCATGCAGAAACCTGGGGGTATAATTGCTCTTCTTGATGAAGCCTGGTGCGTGTTTTTCCCTACTTGCAATATCATGAACATATCAATAATTTATTTATTTATTTATTTTTTTTTTTTGTGTGTGTGTGTGTGTGTAGTATATTGATAAGCCAACATGCTTTGGATGACCTTCAAGGTCAAAGTTTGAACTTTGCATAGCCAGTGGTACCTGCCAGCAAATTTTTTTTTTTTGATTGGCAAATGTTAGTGGTTAGTTGTTAGGTTAGCATATCGGGGGAGTTGAAATTCACACCCATACACCTTGCAAGAAAATCTTGCCCTCCCATTCCACTCTTAAGAGTGGAACCCAAGACCTCCCCTTTTAGAGAGACTAAGTGGCCAAAGAAAATCTTGCCAGCAAAATAATATTTATTCTCATGTCAGCCCTTATTATAATTTATATGTAATGAAAAAACTCATAACATTAATACAGATATATGCATCATATATGGCTTAATTGCTTTCTTTGCAGTATGTTTCCCAAGTCGACCCACGAGACATTTGCACAAAAGATGTACCAGACATATAAAAATCACAAACGCTTTAGCAAGCCAAAACTTGCTCAAACAGACTTCACAATTAACCATTATGCTGGAGACGTAAGCAACCCTAAAAATTCCATATTCACTATCCATTGATATGTTAAACTGATCATTTTCTTACCGTACAACTTTTGATCCAACAGGTTACTTACCAAGCTGATCAATTCCTAGACAAGAACAAGGATTATGTTGTAGCAGAACATCAAGCTCTATTAGATGCCTCGAAATGCAATTTTGTTGCAAATCTCTTCCCTCCTTTACCTGAGGAAATGTCAAAACAGTCCAAATTCTCATCCATTGGTACCCGCTTCAAGGTAACCCAAATTCCATAGGTTGCAGGAATTTTATGCAATTTTGGGAAATCTAAGACCTGATTGGCTTATACATCAAACTTGAAATACAGCAACAGCTACAATCTTTAATGGAAACCCTGAGTACAACAGAACCACATTACATCAGATGTGTGAAGCCCAATACAGTTTTGAAACCTGGAATCTTTGAGAACATCAATGTCTTAAATCAGTTAAGATGCGGGGTAAGTTACTTTCCAATTCAACCTCATCTAGCATTCACTCTCCTAGCTATTTCAGAACTTGCTCCTAACGATAAAGTTCTTCCTGGCAATAATTGTGGCAGGGCGTACTAGAGGCAATTAGGATAAGCTGTGCCGGATATCCAACAAAAAGAAGATTTGATGAGTTCCTTGACCGCTTTGGGATGTTAACTCCAGATGTTTTGGACGGGTATAAATTAGCTACTTCTTGTGAACATATACAAATGTAAAGCTAATAGCTACATGCTCAATGCAATTTGATGCTGCGATATCAAACATAACCATAGATTAATTGTCATCTTCAACAGCTCTCTGTGGCAATCAATAAATTACATTCATGCAGTAACAATTTTTAGTTCTTACTGCTTTCAACTCTGCAGATCTGACGAAAAATCAGCATGCATTGCCATCTGTGACAGGATGGGCTTAAAGGGTTACCAGGTACTAGATCAAAAAAGTTATAATGCAGATATGTAATGGCATCCTTGCCAATGAAATTCTTGAGATAACTTCTACAAACTACTGGGGCAGTTTCTACCTAATACTCTATATTTCAGATTGGGAAAACAAAGGTGTTTCTTAGAGCTGGACAGATGGCTGAATTAGATGCTCGAAGAACTGAAGTTGTCGCTAGTGCGGCAAGGCACATCCAAAGGCAAATCCGAACACATCTCACCCGAAAAGAATTCATCACCCTAAAACGGGCTACAATTCATTTGCAGAAACTTTGGAGAGGTAAAACAACACTGCTCATGAAAATCTGAAGGTTGGACCCTTTAAACTAGAAACAAACTGATAATCTTCAAATTTCTTCAGTTGCAGTATTTTTTCTAATAATTTTTGCTTGTTCAAGAAAAACCAGGTAGTTAAATATGTGTCAGTTTTATCAGTTTGTGCTTGGGTCTGACCCAACCAGATCCAACCATGACCAAATCAGGCTCAAGGGGTGATATTTGAACAATCCCAAAAGAACCTAATTCAATGCCAACTCTATAAGAAATTTTAATAGGATAGGAAGATCTAGAAATGACTAGTTTCCTTTTGCAATTTGGCACAGCACAACTTGCACGTAAGCTGTATGAATATATGAGAAAGGAAGCTGCTTCAATCCAAGTACAGAAACACGTGCGTGCTCACACAGCAAGAAAATCTTACACAAACTTGCAGGCATCAGCAATAGCTATTCAAACTGGATTGCGAGCAATGGCAACTCGCAATGAATACAGACACAGAAGAAGAAACAAGGCCACAACTATAATTCAGGTAATAAGTTGGCTCCAGTTTGGAAATATTTGATTGATTCACTAGAATTTCAAAGAAAAAGAAAAATAGAGAAAATTTTAAGAATGGCAATCATTTGGGATCAAATAATTCACTACTTAAAAATTCTAGATTCTAATTAAGGCAAATGACAAATTCGCAAGTAAAAAAGGTAATACAGTTTTAAAAACTATAAAGAATCCCTATATATGTTATTTGTAAAGCCTAAAGATCCTGCAATCTTTCTAAAGTGCTAACACATAATCAAAAAAAAAAAAAACCCAGAATTATCAGCTTCAAACTAAAAATTGATATATCCTGTCACTTTTTGTTTCTTACAGACTCAATGGCGAAGATACCATGCTGTTTCTGTTTATAACCACCAGAAGAAAGCAACTCTTAGACTTCAATGTCTCTGGAGAACAAAGGTTGCAAGGAAGGAGCTTAGAAAGCTGAAAATGGTAAGTCATCTTCTTCCAGTACTATTCACAATCTCAAACACCCAACTGTTGTAAACTAAATTAAGTTGTATATGAGTGAAACTAAACTAAAAGCAAATATAAAGTTAAGAATTGAGGAATTCTTTAATGCAGGAAGCAAGAGAAACAGGGGCACTTAAGGAAGCGAAGGACAAGCTGGAGAAGCGTGTTGAAGAGCTAACATGGCGGCTAGAATTTGAAAAGAACTTGAGGGTATATTCTTTCTGTATCAACTTGGATGAAACACAAGCAACACTAAAAAGTGAAAGTCAACAATATTTGTAAAGCAAATGAGGGTGCTTCCGTCTCTTACTAGTTCGAGTTCAAATAACAAAATACTAATAGTTTAGTAAACAGATCAGTTACATGAGAAAAGTTTGGGTTGGTAAGATCAGCAGCCATATTAAGCAATCATTCTTGCCAATGCCAGAGCTTATTATGATAAACTGGCAGCAAAAAACACAAATGAAAGAACCAAAAAACACTCAAACTGAGTCCACAATTGAAAGACTCAGTCTGCTTTAGCTCACCGTGATAAATGTGCTTGTAGATTGATTTTGAAGAAGCAAAAGGACATGAAATTGAAAAACTACAACGTGCCTTAAGTGAAATGCAAGGGCAACTAGATGAAGCAAATGCTGCAGTCATTCACGAGAAGGAAGCAGCAAAATTGGCAATTGAACAAGCCCCACCAGTCATCAAAGAGGTACCAGTTGTGGACAACAGCAAGGTGGAGGAACTGACACTTCAGAATGAGGAACTGGAGGTAACATCTAGCAACTTAGTGTGCTATACATTTTCTAACTTATCAAATGCATACAGAACTCAGAAAGAACTCAATGTAAAAGATAAAAAAAATAGGGTAAATTACACTTTTCATCACATAGATTGACCCAAATTTCACTTTAGTCCCTTTTGTTTCAATTTGAACAATTTGGTCCCCACACTTTAAGTTCAGTTTTAATTTAGTCCTTCCACCAAAATTTTCATTAATTTTTCTCAAGTGGTTGACAAGTGTCCCAAAATCATTAATTTTTAACCTCCAACTTGAACGGAAGGACCAAATTGTTTGATTTGAAATAAGGGTTAAAAGGGTAATTTATCCTAAAAGATATTTGCACCAATTTTTAAGAAAACAGCAAGAGTACAAAGAAAGAAGTGAAAATTGGTAGAAAATGAGATAGAGAATAAATGGAAGTGTAATAAGAGGACTGTCAAAGTGGTTACAGAAAAGGGAAAAAGTTCAGGTGCAAAAAGTAATACCTATTACTTGTTACCAGTTAGAATTATATGTAGCAAAATAATGGCAAAAAGGTCAGAAATTTGCATATGCCAGAGATAGCAAACAGCTTATTTAATATACATTCTGGATATGTAGGGTGAGATAAGAGAGCTAAAGAAGAGGGTTGAGGAATTTGAGCAGAAATATTCTGAAGTTGAAAACGAGAGCAAAGCAAGACTAAAAGAGGCAGAAGATTTACAGCTGAAAACTTCAGAGCTACAAGAGACCATTGAAAGGTAGTCAAAAGAACTCTCAATGCATCTGTATGATTATTAACTTTGTTCTAATTAAATTTTTTTTTTAATGCTTGCTTTCAGAATAGAACTGAACTTGTCCAACCTTGAGTCTGAGAACCAGGTTCTACGTCAGCAGGCTTTGGTTGCATCAACAAATGAGGACCTCTCTGAGGAAGTGAAATTGTAAGAATACGGTGTTTATATGGGTTTAAAGCATTGTAGGGACTAGGAACCAATTAAATACCTACACGTCGCAAGAAATTCAAGAGAGTTGATCTCACTTGAATGTTCTGTTAAGTGAAATGAAAAAGGAAGGATATTCATTAAATAAATAAAGGCTAATATTGGACAAAAATCATAACAAGAAACTTCTCTGTCATTATGAGGCAGAGGATAACTGTTAAGGTGACCTACTTCACCTCAGGCTAGACAAATACAGTTGAATATAATATATGGAATTATGGACAATTTGATAAATTAAACAATCAACAGTTAACCACTACTTCGGTTGCATGCCAAAATCTATAGACCAAATATTTCATAAGGAAATTATCTTAACAATGAAAATCTAGAACAAATCAAGTTTTCAACTTCAATAAGTATACCAGTTTTATCTACAGACTAATGTATATCTGTGTTATTTCGAGTTGTGTAGTGGATTCACTTCACTCTGAATGTTTGAAACAAAACCTGAAATTTTAAGCTGAGAAATAGTCGCTCAAGCATTTGTTTAGAAAAATAGACACCACTGCATGAATCTGAAGCACTTTTGTCTGTCAGACTCAAGAGCAAGGTTGGAGATTTGGAGTCAGACAATGAGTTGCTCCGGAGCCAAAAAGTCACTGTGGAGCAAATAACTACTCCTGAACGGGTACAGCTGCAATCCAAGGTACAACATGTTTAAGTAGCCTATTTATGGTGAAATTGCTAGACCATTTGTCACTGACCTCAATGACAATGCAGTATTTTGGCAATGGGCACCACAGAGAAGAGGAGCGTCACCAACCATTTGAAGTACATTATCAAACTGCAAAAGTATTGCCAAACTTCTCATAGATTCATTCTTAATGAACAGACCACTAATAAACACTTAAGTATTCAATTATTACTTTTAAAATAATGAGTGAACCATGTTTGCAGGAATCGGAGCCTCTTTCCCCCCACCTAACTAAACAAAGATCCCTAACAGACAAGCAGCAGGTATGTAGTTGAAAGTGTTAGGATTAAACACACCCAGAAAAAATTATCTCACACACACAGAAAACACAATATTTACGTGGTTCGGCCCAATGCCTACATCCACGGACAGAAATGAGAATTTTCACTAAAATGGAGCAAAATACAAATACAGAGGAGGAGATGAAACTCACTCAACTCACAGTTCTCACTCTCCAATTTCTGATATAAAACATCCTCTCCCTCCCGTCTCTATTTATACATAGAAGGAGTAGGTGGGAGAGCCTTTCCACGTTTTTCATGCATGTGGGTTGGTGGCTGCCAAGCTTGACTTGGTTGGTTGCCTTCCCACGTTTTTCATGCATGTGGGTTGGTGGCTGCCAAGCTTGACTTGGTTGGTTGCCTTCCCACGTTTTTCATGCATGTGGGTTGGTGGCTGCCAAGCTTGACTTGGTTGGTTGCCTTCCCACGTTTTTCATGCATGTGGGTTGGAACAACATTGAGGTCTAAGGTTTAGGGTATATTCCTCTAGGTTTTAGGATACTGTGGACTGCAGGAAAACCTATTTCGAAAGGTTTGTTCGGGCTGTAGAGATTAGTCTAGTGCACGAAAGTTGGCTCAAGATACCGTGCATAATAATATAAAAAAAAGACAAAAAAATAATAATAAAAATAAGAAACAAAAAATAGCATGTCTTGGAGAAACCGTTTCAACCACAACATTTCTTTCCCGGCTTCCGCTGCGGCAATATACTCTGCCTCAGTTGTGGATAAAGCAACACACTTTTGCAGCTTGGACTGCCAAGACACAGCTCCCCCTGCGAAAGTGAACAGCAATCCTGATGTAGATTTCCTACCATCAAGATCGCCTGCCATATCTGAATCAGTATAGCCTTCCAAGACTGGTTTAGCATCTCTAAAGCACAAACACATTTTTGCTGTACCCTTGAGGTACCTCAGAATCCACTTGACTGCTTCCCAATGCTCTTTTCCTGGATTGGAAAGGAATCTGCTTACAACTCCAACCGCATGAGCAATATCTGGTCGGGTGGACACCATTGCATACATCAAACTCCCTACAGCGGATGAGTAGGGAATCGCCTCCATCTCTTGTCTTTCCTTCGTAGAGGAGGGACAAGAATTCTTGCTTAGCTTGAAATGATTAGCCAGCGGAGTACTGACTGGCTTTGCATCTTTCATGTTGAACTTCTCAATTACTCGTTCAACGTACTTCTCCTGTGACAGCCACAACTTCTTGGCTTTCCTGTCACGCACAATATTCATGCCCAAAATTTGCTGTGCAGGGCCTAGGTCCTTCATGTCAAAGGACTGTAATAACTCCTTCTTCAGTGATCTGATTGTTGTGGCATCTTGTCCAACGATCAACATGTCATCAACATAGAGCAGAAGTATGATAAAGTTTCCACCAGGAAATGTTCTGACATAAACACACTGGTCTGCAGCAGTTCTCTTGTAGTCATGACCTACCATGAATGAGTCAAATTTCTTGTACCACTGTCTCGGCGCTTGTTTGAGGCCGTAGAGACTCTTCTTCAATCTGCAGACTAAGTTTTCTTTCCCTTTGACTTCAAAACCTTCTGGCTGCTCCATGTAAATTTCTTCCTTCAGATCACCATGGAGAAATGCTGTCTTCACATCCATTTGTTCAAGTTCCAAATCCAAGCTAGCTGCTAGTCCCAAAACTACTCGAATGGATGTCATTTTCACAACTGGCGAGAAGATTTCATCAAAATCAATACCTTTCTTCTGCCCAAAACCTTTGACAACCAATCGAGCCTTATACTTGACTAGCTTTCAGCTGCCATCTTTCTTCAACTTGAACACCCATTTGTTCTGCAATGCTTTTCGACCCTGGGGAAGTTTCACCAAATCATAAGTCTGATTCTTCTGCAAGGATTGCATCTCTTCTTGCATAGCTTGCTGCCAGCTACTCCTCTCCTTATGATTTTGAGCTTCTTGAAAACTTTCTGGCTCCCCCTCATCGGTAAGCAAAATATACTCAGAAGCAGGGTATTTGGTTGACGGCTTAAATTCTCTTGTTGATCTTCGTAACTGTGGACCAACAGTCTCTGGTAGAGGGGGTTGTGGCTCCCCCTGCTCAACACCCTCTGCTTCTGGATCTTCTTCTTCTAGAAATCCATCCTGCAACTCTACATTATTGACTGCATGCTGCGGTAACTCTTCTTCATCAGTGGCATGCTGTGATGGTGCAGGGTTTGGAATAATTTCTGAAACATCATCAACTTTGGGTTTGGCTGGTTGCCCAAAGTCTTCAAAGGTCTGGCCTTCTTGAAACACCACATCTCGGCTTCGAATGACCTTTTTGTGTTTCGGATCCCACAATCTGTATCCAAATTCTTCATCTCCATAGCCAATAAAGATGCATGGAGTGGCTTTGTCATCCAGCTTCTGTCTGTGCTCCTTGGATACATGTGCAAATGCTTTGCACCCAAACACTCTCAAGTGAGAGTAAGAAATCTCCCTTCCAGACCATACTTCTTCTGGAATCTGAAAATTCAGTGGAACTGATGGCGATCTGTTGATCAAATAGCAAGCAACACGAACAGCTTCTCTCCAAAATGGCTTTGGTAGCTTTGTCATTTTTAGCATACATCTGACCTTCTCCACAATGGTTCGGTTCATTCTCTCGGCTACACCATTGTGTTGTGGGGTTCCAGGAACAGTCTTCTCATGCCGGATGCTGTGAGTAGCACAGTAGGCTTTAAATTCCTTTGACGTGTACTCGCCTCCATTGTCTGTTCGGAGACATTTCAGCTTCTTTCCAGTCTCCCTTTCCACCATAACATGGAATGTCTGAAAATGCTGGAACACCTCAGCTTTGGTCTTTAAGACATAAACCCATACCTTCCGTGATGCATCATCAATGAACGTCAGAAAGTATTTTCTACCACCCAAAGATTCCACTTCAATGGGACCGCAAACATCAGAGTATACTCTGCTCAACAACTCTGATTGTCTTCTGGATGATGAATGGAAAGCGACTCTATGATGCTTCCCAAACAAGCAATTGTCACAAGGATTTAATTTTGCATCTTTGGCAAAGGGAATAAGTAACTTCTTTGCCAAAATCTGTAACCCTTTCTCACTCATGTGACCCAGTCTTTTGTGCCACAAGTTTGGTGACGCCTCATCTTCTGCTGCGTTGAGGCTATTTAAATTCACCTCCACATGAGTCTTGTATAGTGTGCCAATTGCCTGTCCTTTGGCTACCACGAGAGATCCCTTTTTCAACTTCCATATGCCTTTGCCAAAGTAGTTCTCATAGCCTTGTTGATCTAAGGCTATCCCTGAAATAAGATTCAGGCGTAAATCGGGAACATGCCTGACATCTTTCAACATCATCGTGCACCCAACTTTGGTTTGGATATGAACATCACCAATTCCCACAATTTTGGAAAAACTGGAGTTACCCACTTTCACTGTACCAAAATCTTCAGCTTGGTACGTACTGAAGAACTCCTTCTGGGATGTAGCGTGGTAGGAAGCTGCTGTATCTACCACCCACTCGGTGTCGTTGTCTGACATATGGAGGCATTCTTCTTCTTCAACAGAGAATAATGCAATATCCTTTGAGATAGTAACTGCAGTGGTCCCATCTTCGGTCTTTGGCTGTCTATTGCCTTGTTGTTGTTCTCCCTTCAAGGCATAGCAATACTTCTTTATGTGACCCTCCTGGCCACAATGGTAACATTTGAACTTTGGCCGGCTCGTATCTTCTCTGGATTTCCCTCTGTCTTGAGATCTTCCTCTGCTGCGTCCTCTACTTTTGCTTCTTCCCCTGCCCCTGCCTCTGCTTTTATTTTCTGTGACGAGGGCATGGGATTGATCTCCACCCATTTCTTTCTTTCTTGCCTCTTCACTAAATACAGCATCTGTGACCATGCTCATGGTCAGTTTCCCTTCTGGAGCAGAGTTGCTGAGGGACACCACCAATGTCTCTCAACTGTCTGGCAAAGAACTGAGCAGCAATAGGGCCTGCATCTCATCATCTAACTCCATTTTGACAGTTGTTAGTTGGTTCACCAAATTTTGAAACTCACTGGTGTGTTCAGCAACAGAGATACCGCCTTTCAACTTCAAATTCACAAGTCTTCTCATCAGGAGGGCTTTGTTCCGAGAAGTCTTCGACTGATACATGCCTTCTAACTTTGTCCAAAGGGCATAGGCATCAGTCTCCTGGGCGACATGGTGGAAGACACTGTGATCAATCCATTGTCTGATCTGGCCAATGGTCTTTCAGTTCTTCCGCTTCCAGTCTTTGTCTTTTTCCGTTGGTGGTTTAACTCCATTAAGCTCAATGGGGTCAAACAAATCTCGGCAGTACAAGACATCTTCCATTCTAGGCTTCCAAATGGCATAATTGGAAGCATTTAACTTTATCATGGAACCTGAAGTTGATGTTAATTCCTCCATCATACAAAAATGATCTTTGGCTGAAAAACAGGTTTTGCTGTGGAGTCCGGACTGGTCAAATTAGCCGGAAAAACACTTCGGGTTGTCAAAAGAAAGACGGCAAATTTTTTGAAAGCTTATTTGCAAAATCTGACCGTACGGATGTGTCTGGAATACTCCAAATAGTTGAAAACCACTATTGGCTCACCCAAATCGGATCTCAAATGGCTTAGATCAAGCCAAAACAGATTGAATGGTTCAGATCGGCAGAATCTGGTGCGGCTGAGAAGCACCAGATTATTTCTCCGGATCGGCTGGCGTCGGGCTGACGTCAGCGGCTCAGTCAACGGCTCGGTCAGCGGCTGAAGACTCGGCTCGACTGAAGACGTCGGCTGGCGCGCGCGCGTGCGGCGCGTGTATGCGCGTGAAATCACGCGTCTTCTTCCTCCGTCCGCGCGTGGGGCGCGTGGGTGAGATTGGGACCACGCGCCGGGTGCCTGCACAACGCGTGTTGCGCGTGACGCGACTAGGACTCACGCGCCAACTTCCAGAGGCGCGTGAGGACGCGTCCGGCCTCCGTTGGGTGTCTGC